AAAAAAAAAAAAAAGAAAGGGGGCAATGAACTGAAGATAGTTAACAGTAATAAAGCAAATGTGGAGTTAATACTCTCTGGGTTCCCTCTCCCCTCTGTCCTTTACTATATAAAAGGCACTTGCCCAGCTGTAAAAGGCAACATGGTGATTTGAAGCAAATAGGCCCTTCCATCTCCTCAGAGCTAGCTTTCTCCTTTTTACCTAAATATATGGCCTCCTTTGTTTTGGTCAGTGGCAAGCCGATGAACCTGAGCATGTGAACCTAAGTAGCCTGTAAAGTTTTGGTGACCACGAAGGGACATGAGTCCTTTCACCTGAGAGCCAGGCATCCTGGCAGTCACTTGGAAAGAGGGACTGACTGCTAGTGGCTAGCTGAACCCATGGTCAGGACTCCAGGTGAGACAGGAGATTAGGGTGTGGTAAAGCTGGCTGGGGAAGTAGGCATGACGTATTCATTACAAAATCCCAGGACACATACACAGAACAGTTCCTGCACATGGACCTCTCATGTGCAGTTTTGGGTAGGCCTAGACCTGACATTAGCCTCAGGAGTGGAAGATACACAAAGGACAGTTGCCATTGAGCTCTCTGACACTGTGTTCTCTCTTGCATGGTGGCTCACCCTCACACTGTAGGGTGTACTTTTTTCCTACTTTTACTTGACCCAAACTCACTCTGCCGAACATCATCAAGAAATCAATAAATGCTGGTGAGGTTACAGTGAAAAGGAAACCCTTCTATACTGTTGGTGGGAATATAAACTAGTACAGTCCCTATGGAAATTGACATGGAGATTCCTCAAAAAACTTAAACTAGAAATGCCATTCCCTTTCTAGGTATCTTCCTGAAAGAATTAAAGTCATCATATTACAGTGATACATGTATACTCGTGTTCACAGCAACATAATTCATAATAGCTAAATCCTGGAAATAGTCTACATATGTCCATCAATAAAGAATGGATAAAGAAAATATAGTACTTATACACAATTGAGTATTACTCTGCTATTAACAAAGATAAACTCAAAGAAAAACAGATTGACCTTGAGGCCATAGCTTCAAAATCACATGGTTTCTCTTTTTTTCTTTTTTTTTTTTGGTACCAGGGATTGAACTCAGGTCCTTGCGCTTGTGCAGCAGGTGGTGAAACCACTGAGCTAAATCCCCGGCCCACATGGTTTCTCTTATATGAAAAAATTAAATATATAGAGAGAGAAAAATTAAAAATAGATAATAGGGTGAAAAAGAAAGTTTTCTAGAGGAGTTCCTAATTATATTAATTAAAACATTGCAATTTTAATCTGCATTTGAGATGCGTATAATAAAATTTGACAGCTTTTTAAACATGTATAAGCTTTAGCCTTCACTAATTAGGGTTCTCTCTCCATTCTTAATAACATCACTTTGTATTTTTGTCAAGTAAATAAATCTTTTCATATGAAAAAATAATTACCAGGCATACCATAAAAAAGGCAAGAAAATATAATCCTCATGAAAGGGGAAAAAAAATCCTAGATTCCTAGATAAATATGAATTACCAAAGTTGAAGAAGACCTAAAAATTCTCAACAACCCAATATCAATGAAATTGAAAATGTAATTAAACACTTACCAACTAAGAAAAGCCTAGTTTCTGATTGCTTCACTCCTGAATTCTATAAGACATTTAGAGAAGAACTATTGCCACTACTGTTTAAAGTCTTCAATGAGAGGCAGTATGGGTGACTTAGGACTCAGGGCAGCAGTAATCCTATGTTGATGAGGGTGGTAAGGAGGGCATTCTTACAATAATAGATGAAACAGAGATAGCAAGCTACTAAGGAATCTGTCCTTCCTCCAGTATTACAAAACCATTGGAGTTGCACGGAAGACACCAAATCCGCCCGCTGCAGACAGGCAGGTCTGCGCACGCCCTGCTGAGGTCCCCAGTCATGGGGAAGACGCCGAATCAGCCACACCCCGGCAACAATTCACTGGACCCCCCACGCCCCACTCCTCTGTACAGCCACCTGGTTCCACACTACAAAGACGCAGAGGACACCAGACCACCAGACCAAGGTACTGAGTCCCGCTGCTCGCGGCTGAGAGGTAGGGGCTTCTGAGCCGCCATCCCACTGCTCCTGGTCCAGAGGAAGGGGGTTCCAGGCCACCATCCCTCCCGCTGCTCCCAGCCCAGAGGAAAGGGCTTTTGG